CGATGCAATACAAACAGGGTTTGGGGCTACATTATAGACTTCTTTAAGAGTGGAAAAAGGGGGACTTTCCGAAAATAAGGGTTTAGGGTTTAGGGTTTAGGGTTTAGGGTTTAGGGTTTAGGGGACTTTCCGAAAATAAGGGGTACCTTACTTGCGGGGTCCTTCTTTTCAGAATCCTACTAATTTAGGGTGCTATATTAGGGTCCCCTACTTTCGGACACCCCCATATAGAGAACTGGTATTGATTCAAGCCCCTAAATGGTTGCTTCGAGTTTAGGTGCTATTCAACGAGGGCTCTATACTGAACCCTAAACCCTGAACCCTAAACCCTAAACCCCTAAACCCTAAACCCTGTGACACTATGAACCTGTCTTTGGGAACCCTAAGTAAGACTATGACTTGTTAGTCGGTGCCTGTTTAGGGTTTAGGGTTTAGGGTTAATATGATCTTCGTGTACACTGCTCTCTACGCTTGCAAGTTGTATTTGATATTGGAAAATGATACTCACGTGCAGAAGCACATACTACTGCCGTATATGAAAGTTGTCAACACAGTGCTTCTTGGTGCGGTTCATATCTCCACCACCACCATCATCGTCATCATGATCACCATGTTCCCAATCTCGCCTCTACATAAACCCCGTAACCACTAAGCATCCAAACACCTAAACCCTAAACCCCTGAACCCCAAACAACATCCCGTCATTGCTCTGATCCTTCATGCATTCCGAAGTTTCGGAAAGCAAGGGACCCTATAACCCCCACAGACTGCCATGGTTTCTCATTATTCTGTTTAGTGCTTCTATACGTTATTGGTGTTCCTGTTAGTGTTATTATAGTGGGATCCTTGTTGTAAGGACCCCGACACAAGTGACCAAGAATCTTACGAAGCCCCGCAAACCATGCCAAGAAACCTGCTGCGGTGATAGTCGTTCGGAGTTTTCATGCTGTGAGCATTGAGTGCGCTAGCTCTTTTCTTGGTTCATCCGTCGCACATACTCCCCTGTGCTACTTTGCTATTCTGTCCCAATGGATATAACAACCATCGTATTGCAGCAAGCCCATGTGTACCTCGTGCAGGGGCTCATGCTGCACACAAGTTCGAACCGCCAAACACCCCTAAATGATCAAACATATGCAAGCCCAAAACCCTCAAACATCTAACCCCAATGCCCGAGAGTCTAAACCTCTGAACCCCTAAACCCTCAAACATCTAACCCTAAAGCCCAAAAGTCTCAACCCAAAGCCCGATAACTGAGACACCAAACTCGAGGGTTGAAACAATGGACCCCTAGTATGGGCCGTTAACCCTGGGATCCTTATACGCCTACTAAATACCCTATATTTATGTGCCTTTAAGGGTCCCTAGAAAGGCCTAAGGGTCCATACTAGGGGCCCATACTTCGAAAACCCTAAACCCTAAACCCTACACCTATGCGGCAAGGGATGCTTGCAGCCAGGGGTCTGCGCTCTAAGGGCGTCCGGAAGCCACTCTGATGCAGAAATCGGGCCAGGGCGAAAGCATCGGCATCCTCCGGGCTATGCTGCTGTCGGGGTTTTACTTGTCCAGTATTCTAGGGGAAGTTTGTTGGTTAAGCTTTGGGATTCTTGAAGGATTGTAGCACCCCAGAAAAGGCTGAAGGATACCTACCCTCCTACTGAGAGGCTTGCTTTGCATTGATCTGAACTGATTCCACAAGGCTTTAGCCTTACGGTTTGATCACTCCTTGCAGGATGATTGGACTTGGGTGTCTAGGGTTTCGGGCTTCGAGGCTTTCGGGTTCATAGTAATATAGGGGCCTTAATAATTAGAAAGAAAATGGGTTTTGAGGTCCTTTATAGTATAACTATTATAAGGAGCCCCAAAAAAAAGATAGATAATCATTGAGGCCCCTATAGTAATCTTGGAGGTTTCATGCTGCAGGGTACCCCTAAACCCCTAAACCCTAAACCCCTAAACCCTAAACCCTAAACCCTAAACCCTAAACCCTGAACCCCTGCAGGGCACGGCTTGAGGTCCCACAAGGGTGGGCCGACCTCGCTTTCGTGGGTGGATGTAAGCTGAAAACAGCATCCCAGCTTACAACACAACGAGTAAAGTAGGGGCCTTGATAACTAGAACAGGGTTTTGGGGTATATTATGCCATAGTTATAGTAAGGAATCCTCAAAACGGTATAGGTAAGTAATAAGGTCTCTATATTAGGATGAGAACAGCATCCCAGTTTACAACACAACGAGTAGCAAGCTGGGAGCATGTACACTGCAAGGACCCAATATCCTGCCATCTTTCTATCCTTGGGGTTCAAGCATGAAAGCCTAGGGTGTCTTCAAACAGGTTCACGGTAAGGTACTGCTTTTTGTGGAAGAACGGCATGCTTTGTAAACCCCGAACAGCGTGCAAAGAGCCCGCCCTAAACGTTAAGCCCTTGAACCTTAAACCCCAAAGCCCGAAGAGTACCGATAGCACGCCTCAGAAGGAAACTTGTCAAGTATCCTAGCGGAACTACAGGTTAAGTTTTGGGATGAAGCCGGGATTAAATGAGTATAGAATCCCAAGCAGGTTAAAGGTTATACTATTAGGTCTCTGGGATTATATAGGGATTGCACCCAAAAAAAAAACTCAAGGTCATAGTCCTAAAGAAGGGTTGCTATACCTGCAACTGCTCCAAAGAAGGGTCCTTAGCTCCAAGGTTTGGCGTTGGCCCCGTTAAGGGTTTACGGCTGTGGGTTTAGGGTTTAGGGTTTAGGGTTTAGGGTTTACGGCTTTGGGGTTGAGTATTAAGGCTTAGGGGTTGCGGGTCTAGGGTTTAGGGTTTGGGGTTCGGGTTAAGGCGCTGATACCCCCTAAACCCTAAACCCTAAACCCTAAACCGACACTTACTAGGGCCGGTGAAACCTTCAAGGTCTTAGGAAACGAGCACTAGGATGCCCAGTATCCTCGGAATAGAAAGGGCTCCCTTCTTTGGTTTGGGTAGGTTTAGGGTTAAGGGTTTAGGGTTTAGGGTTTTTGGTTTTGGGTAGGTTTAGAAGGAACCTAAGACCACAAGAAGGGGAAAAAGGGTCCACTGGGAGACGTAGGCAATAAAAGCTTTGAGAGGATTCTTGTGCCGGCTCCACATCTGCTGAGGTTGCGAGAGGGTTTCAATGCCGGGTTTGGGTAGGGTTTAGGGTTTAGGGTTTAGGGTTTAGGGTTTAGGGTTTAGGGTTTAGGGGCTCAGGGCTGGCCCTGGCAGATGCAAATCCAGCTCCCGGGGTTTAGGGCTTAGAGTTTGTTCAGAGCTGCCGCACGTCATGAATCCAACACAGGAATGCCGAGTACGATGATGATGGTGATCATGGCGATAAGAGGGCTGATGCACATAATTCCCTCAGAGAGCAAGCAACAACTTAAAGGGTGACACTGTCAGGATAATACTTGCTTGCAAGACCCTCCACACAAGAAAGAAGCATTCATTTCTGATCCCTAAAACCAGTAAAGGCTGAATATATGAGAACTTACGAGAAGCCCTGCATTGAAGCCCGACCAGCCCTTGTAACACGGTCCTCGAAGGGGTCCAGCTCTGTAGTGAAAGCTGGAACCAGGCCATCGACGGGATCCATGTCCAGGCCACGGTACAGGCAAGGCAGCTGACGGTTCAGCAGGAACCTGTAGCCGTGCACGTCGCCTGGTAGTCGGGTGTGGGAGCACAGTAACTTACAGTAACACTGCACAAGTAGACTACGTCTTTTTAATGGTGCTTTCAACTCCCGCCTTGCTCAAGAAGGTAAAACAGCTTGTTCCAAATCATCTGCGTCAATGCGCTCGCCTCAACTACCCCCGTTGGGAAGCACAGAAACAAGCAATGTAGGGGCCTTAAAAATTAGAATAAAATTTTGGGGCCCATTATACTATATTTATGACAAGGAACCCCCAGAATAGTATAGCTAACTATTTATTTGTGCCTCTATATCATCCTTTTTGGTGATTCTCTTCTCGGCTACCAACACCCAAACCCCACAAAAAGAACAAAACAAGCAGGATCCTAAACTCAAAACCCTAAACCCGCAATCTAAACCCGAAACTCTAAACCCCTAAACCCTTAAACCCCCTAAACCCCAAACTAAACCCGAAACCCTAAAAACCCTAAACCCCTAAAGCCTAAACTTTAAACCCGCAACCCATAAAACCCTAAACCCCTAAACCCCCTAAACCTAAACTACACCCGAAACCCTAAAACCCTGAAACCCTAAACCCGCTAAGCCCCCAAACTAAACCCGAAACCCTAAAACCCTGAAAACCCTAAACCCCTAAAGCCTAAACTTTAAACCCACAACCCTAAAACCCTAAACCCCTAAACCCCCTAAACCCCAAACTAAACCCGAAACCCTAAAACCCTGAAACCCTAAAGCCACTAAGCCCCCAAACTAAGCCCGAAGCCCTAAAGCACTAAACCCCTAAACCCCCTAAACCCTAAACTAAACCCGAAGCCCTAAAACATTAAACCCCTAAGCCCCCTAAACCCCAAACTAAACCCGAAGCCCTAAAACCCTATAAACCCTAAACCCCCTAAACCCTAAACTACACCCGAAACCCTAAAACCCTACACCGCTAAGCCCCCCCCCAAAACACCCTAAACCCTAA